ACATTAAAATTTTTCCATATTTTAAGACTTAAAGCTACAAATAGCAATGCTTTTCAAAATTCAGATGAAGACAGGATGTTTCACCCAAATAAATCAGTTTTAAAAGTTCTGGATAATCTTGAAAACTATACAATATTTGAAAGGAAAGTACATTCATCTGTATTCATTGTGATAATCAAGACAATGAAAGTGAATGTGAGAATAAATTGCATTGTGATTACAATTTATGAACTTCTGATTGGAAAGAAATTGACAATTGACAAATTTCTTTCCAATTGAAGGAATGCTTTTTTTTACTTGCAATTTTCTGGCTCATATTCACCACAAGCACGTAATAAGCAATCATTTTGTTCATTATGTAAACATACAGCTTTAAATATCTCAGGAAAAGCAAAAACCCATTCCATAATATTATAAAAGTCATAGTCAGATAATCTAAAGCACTTTCTAGTGAATTTAAAGCTTTCACTAAGAAGTATTGATTCTAAAATTCCAGAATGGAATGATAAAACTTGTTAGAGCTCCCTTTTAATCTCATTTGGTATTGTTTTGTGAAAATTGTCCAATTCATTTACTTTCTCCACACTATTTTGTATATTATCAAATAATTTAGTTTACTTTTTTGAAAAAGTTGTATATTTTTTCAGATTTCATAATATTTCAATTTTATTCCAATCTGAAGTTCATAAATTATGATTACAGTGCAATTTATTCTAACATTCACTTTCATTGTCTTGATTATCACAATTAATGAATACAGAAGAATGTACTGTACTTTCCTTTCAAACCTAGCATTGTTTTCAAGATTATCATTTAAAACTGATTTATTTTGGTGAAACATTCTGTCTTCATCTGATTTTTAAAGCTTTGCAGCTTTGAGTCTTAAAATATCGAAAAATTTTAAGGTAAAAAGACAATATTAAAACATACCATTACTTGTCGCATTCACTTTCCTTGTCTTGAATATCGCAATTATTGAATCTACTGAGTTTTATTCCTAATTATTACAATAACAAACACTGGGTGGAAATGGCCGAAGGCGATCGTGCGGTTTATAAAACCTCGGGGGCGAGATGCGCTGCATTTCTGTGGCCGAGGGAGGGCAGCGTGGATGGGCCAGTTCCTCGTGCTCGCATGTCTGAAATATCAGCTCCGATGTGGTTCTGGCAGTTACCTGGTGGGCACGTGCGAAGTGAACCACCGTCACGAATGACGTCATTAATCTGTATTAAATATCTTATCCTGATTTTTCCACGTTTATTTTATTGAAAACTTTCAAAATTTAATTCAAATACTATAAATGTCCGTTTTTTCAATAAATTACGATATAAATTTATGATTTTGTAAGTTAATTTGACATAATTCTAAACAGACGATCTCCGATAATTTCGACCGTTAAATCAACGATTTCATAAGATTTTAGAGAAAAAATCGGCTATCTTTGGCTTTATTGGATGTAAATCCATTAATTTTCAATAAAAATTAATTACAATCCACTTTTCTAGGCTTTAAAATAACTTACCTTCTCATATTTCATTCAAAGTTTGAACCAGATGCCATTTTGTTCGTCTGCTTTCTGTAGCCTCGGTCATAAAGGTTCGAGATTATGGATATTAAAACTTAATTAAAATATCAAATTGTTTCGTATTAATATTGCAATAATTATATAATAAACTTAAATAAATGTTTTAATTCAAAGTATAGTTTTAAAAAAAGAAAAAATATTCTATTTTTGTTTTTATTTTTTTTATTAGGGTTACTAAATACGACCGAAGCACTCAATTTATTTCTGTAAAATGAATTAAGATTAAAAAGATAATTTCCTCGGTAAAGACTTTATCTTAAAGAATATACTTTACAACAGTTCAAATTTGAATTTTACTTTTTTGGCTGTTACGTATAGCCTATGTTATGGACTAAGTTATTAATATGATTTATTATAGATTAAGGATTAATTAATTAATAATAAGTTTGTCATTATTCATGATGACTGGGCATATAGAAAACGTTAAAGTAATTTTGCTTCAATTTGAGCGGAAAGATCTATGCCCTTCGTGGTACGACCAAACCCCGTCCAGATATGAGACGGGTCCACGTATCCGGGTCAACTTCGTGAAAATTTGAGTCTCGACTCAAACTAGAGTGCCTAGAATGGTTCCTTTACTGTCTCGGCCATCCAGCTCTCACATAACTTCATTGTGACATCAGCTCCTTTAAAAATACAACAGTTACTGTTCCTTACCAAGCGGTTTCGTTCCCTGAACACTGGGAGTTCGGTCATTGGATCGGACGGACGGGCTACGTGGAGTTTTCCGGATTTTCTCCATGTCTATAACTTCTGAATAGGGGCCAGTTACCCTTAAAAGACCTCCCTGAAGGCATTATTCGCCGCGTAAAGACCATCATAAACGCATACGTGACAATTACGTCACACCATACCACAGAACGATATAGCCTAGAAGCTCATGCCCAACTAGCTGATACAAGACTATTTCTTAATGATTTCAGCTGTCGTACTTATAATAAGTGAATACTAAATATAAACAATTGAAGAAAAAATTTTAAAAATGTATAAAAAAAAAATACTGTCTGACATTTAAATTGACGAATGTGACAATATAAAAGATTACAGTCTTTTAATACTACAAAATATGAACATCTATTAGTAACTTATAGGTGAATTAAATTTGAAATTACATTTCAACATTGTTGCGAAATCCCCAAAACAAAAGTAATAACTCTCTCAAACACATGACGGCAATCGACAAATCCCTAAATTACAAATAAATGAACCCTCAAAGGTATTTATCGCAATATACGAGTATATCAATGGATTGGATTGGATGGAATAAGGAAACGCAACACGAACTGTCTCCCAAAGAAGAAGGATTTTCTTTGGGAAATTAGTCCCTATTTAGGTGTTAGGGGCTGTCCATATATGACGTCTACACTGGAAAAGAAGGAGGAGGTTACGACAAGTTCAGCAAAGTCCTACAAGGGGAAGGGTTGAGCTTCAGTGGACGTCCGTTTATTTCATTAAACTTTATACAGTTTATACATTTTATTATACTTATTTCAAAAATTCTTATATGTTTCGTTCATAATGTGATAAAGGTTTTAAGGGGGAGTCGAATTTTGTTAGATCTGAAGAAGTAAGGGGGTTACGAAAACTTGGACAAACAGACAAGTGTGGAAGAGAAGTAAATATTTCAAGAAAAATGCGGATGTAATTTAAGGACAGCTCCAATAGATATGTAAAAAATACCTGAAAACTCCATGTGGCCAATCCGTTGGCGAGCGCGATCGACTACGAACGTTCAATACTTTTTTCTACTCGGCCACTAGTGGAACATGTATCAATGTGAAATAACTAATTTACATATTTAACATTGGTGTTCAGCCATTGATCTCTTGGTAGCTGTACATTGATTACTTACTGTCTTTCTTTTTACTTTCTATAAATTATTCCTTTCGATTATACTCTTTTCCTTTTTAATTATTTTTATTAATTAATTATTTATTTATACTACATATTTTCTATATCGCTTCTATATCGCCGTAATTACAATACGACGGATCGTACTTCAGAATTAAACATATATTCAATTTGAACTCCAAGTCTGTCTTAGCCGATCCTGCTAATTGCTGCTGCTTGACCCGAACAGGTAACTCACCTGTCCCAAGAAGTAGAGTGAACCAGACCGCATTGGCCAGCTCCACTACATATTTAACGCAAAACTAAAGTGGCCCGATTCGGAAACAATCGTCTATATTGGTCAATGGAAACATTTGATTTAATTGGAAAAATGAATTACCCACAGCGAGATGATCTAAGACAGCTAAAGCAATATAGGCAAAGGAGTGCATGCGACAGTAAATTCAACAGACAAGAATATACGGTATCAGAAAATTTCGGGGCATTTCTCATCACCTTCAATTGAAAATATATTTATTGTTGTCGCTTGAATTTTATTTACGGTAAAGTAATTTACATCATCTGTGTAATATAAAGTGATAAATCAGAAAATAAATAAAAACATCAGACAGAATCCGAAAATATCAATAACGTTTATTGAATGAATCAATTTAAATACATGCATTTTAAATTAAATATATTAATTAGGAAATTAATAATTTTGCTTAATTGGATGTCAATTTGAAAATCATCATCATTTAATTAGATGTGTTAAAAATTTTCAGATAATCATTATTAAAATTGTTAAATTTGATTAGAAATTTTCCAATTTCATTGTAAATAATTTTGGAAGTTGATTTTGAAGTTTTAAATTCGATTATCTTCAGAATTTTATCTCCGTTCATTTGAATAAACTTAAATTTCAATTTTTTTTAAATTTTCTTTTCTGAAAATATTAAAATAAAATGAAATTAAGATACGAAAAATCCGTTTTCTTATAAATTACTTATACCAATAAATTAATGCCGGAAATTTGTATTTCATCTAACAATTAAGATATAAAATTGTGGTATTTTCCACCACTGAACTCGTACAAAACACTGAACTCGATAAAGTATAACACTTTAAATCAAGAATATTAATTAACTAACCAAAAATAAATGGGTTATTTCAAAATATTTGTCTAAAACAATTAAAGTTTGTTCAATGAATTAGTCACACGATTATTGAAGTGTCATCGAATTAACAGGGGTACGACATTGCACTCTGTATGACCCACCTTTTCGGTTGCATTGGGTTGATGGGATACGACAACGTAACACACCTGTCATATGGTAAGATCTTGTACCTCCCGTTAAGAGTTTCTATGGGGATACTGGCACATACTTAGATGTAGCCCGAAAAACTTCACATGACCGAATGGTCATGTGAAGTTTTTCGGGCACGAGGGGGCACGAATCCATTATTATTTCGATTCTCGATTCTAATAAACAGAAAAAGTCTTATCCCGATTAATATTGGGGACGTCAACACATTATAAGAATTAAAATTCTCTTTCAGTTATCCATCACACGAATGCTTTGGTTTAATGCACGGAAAAATGAAAAATGTCATTCTTCTGAGAATCTGCATCACAACGTCCAAACATTTTGGAGGTTCCTGAAAAAAGTATAAATATTTTAATAAATCAAAAATAATATAAAACAATTTTCAAGTATCTTAAAAATATAAAACGAAATATTCTAGGCTTATATATAAAGTGTTTTTTTTTTTTTTGCAGAAATAATTAATTGTACTCGACATCAATTAAAAAACTTTTAAACTTAAATAATATTTTGATGTAAAAATGACAAAAAAATATTCCAAATTAGTAAACAATTCATTCAAAAAATGAACATAAATAAATGTCGACAAAAGTAGGAATAAATAATCGTTTTCTTACGGTTTTAACAGATTCCGAAATGATTTCTGCTCCAACGAAACTTTTATCTTCGTCGTTTTTCGTTTCTTGGATATGAATTTCCTTTGTCAAATTCTAAGTTTTATTCTTTGTTGGATCTTTGTTTCCTTCCTCGCTTTTTTTCTGCAAAAAAGACAATCTTACTGTTTAAAACGTTTCTCTTAAAATTTCTATTGAAGCTATAAACTGTTACATCAAACACGAGAAAGTATAATTAAGATTGGGTCTGTCAATGTATTAAAACTCGTCAGAACTACTTTAATATGTAAATGTGCTTTACGACTAACAACGTGTTATTCTCGAAATTTGACAATTTTTCGCATATTAAAACAATGTTTAGTTACACAAATGAAGAAAAGCATCAAAGAGATAAATATAACGTATCTTACCTTCTTTACATTTCTTCACTCGAATCGTTTCCTCGCCATTGCCAGGTGTTATCATTTCATCTTTGTCTGATGAATGGGATGGTTCAATATTTACATCAATTGGTGATTCACTTTCGGATAAGGATTCAAATATATCACCGAATATCGATACGTCAGTTTCAGTATCGACCTCATCAGATTTTTCATTGGAATGAAAGTCATTGTCATCTTCACTTATTGTAGTGCTCGTTTCTAATTCATCGCTTTCGGATAGCTCGGACAGTTCGTCTTCGATATAATAAAATTCTTCTTCCTCGTATATCACTTCTTTGACTAACGATGTTTTTTCTAAATATCTAAAAGCGCATTTCAGAGGTCTTTCGTAGAATTCGTCCTTTATCCACGCGGGAGGCATATTCAGGAGATCGGATTTCGTTGGAAACTAAAATTTAATTTTAAAATATTTATTAAGATTTAGTAAATTTACACATTCAATTCAAACAGTATTTGACAGTTTTTAGTTAATTTATTTAATGGCCTTTAAGAATATTTTCTTATACATTTGGCCAATTTATATCGAGTGTTTTTTACAATGTCTACTGCTATTACAATGTTGTATTTATTAAGCGATGTAAATATCAAGAAATTTGCCGAAAAGAATAATCTAATCATATGTAAACTTACAGTAATAGAAACTTCGTCGACATCGAAATCTTCCGATTCGTCAATTGTGGTGTCTCCTGTTACGTTCATTGTTGTTTCAGTTTGTTTAACTTGCTCCACAATTTCTTCTGTATTGAAAGATGCGGAATTATCCGTATCAGAATCACTTGTATATGAAATTCCAGGTTCTGATTCCACTTCTAAAGTATAGCAATGCACGAAAAAAAAATCACTAAACTTTATTTCAAAGTGATACAAAATATTAAAGCAAATAAATTTCTTTTATATTAAATGTACAAAATACTATAACTTTATGTTGAAATTTATTATGAATATTTAATAAATTTGTTTCAAAAAATTCTTAAAATTGTATTATTATATTTCGTGAATGAACATTCCATTATAATTAGCCAGAGTTGTGGACACCCGACACAAAAATTACGGGGTCGTAGTCCACATATCTGACTGTTTTCTCTATAGTCGTATTTGTACTGATGAATTACATTTACTATTTATGTTTATTTATATACTTAAAATTATATAAAATGTTTTCTAGGGATTTTGTAATTAAACTGTTATTGTACAAGATCTAAATGGTCTATTGGCTGTAGGGATACGGCCTGGGCTTTATTTCATTAGCCCTACGAACACTTATTTTAAATATAACTGTTGTTATTGGTACATAATCATTAATATATTAGTTTGTGTTTTATGTATTTTGTATGTTATTATTAATGTAAATTTAATATAATTTACCATTATTATGTGGATGCGTAGATATCGAAAAATCTTCACGAGTTTCTAATAAAGAATCTTTATTTTTTATTATATCCGGAACGACAATTTCATGTTCGGACACTTCTTTTTGAGTCTCACATTCCGATTGAGGATTATTTTCCAACATATTTGGTTGAATCGAATGTAGCGACGTCTCGGCTACAGGAGACTCCGATTCGTTTATTCGCATTTGAACTTCTAGAAGTTCATTTTCTTCCATCTCTGCCCGTGGCCAAAATTCTGGTATATTTGTTGCCATTTCNAAGTTTGGCCACACCTGCTATAGTCTATAATTAATTAAAAGTTATAATTATTAAAGTTATGATAATTATTAAGAGATGGCGCCTAACGCTTCCCTCTAGTGCCAAATTGTTTACATCATTTATTTAGAAATATAGCCATTTCTAGCCCGATAGAATTCGGCTTTGGTTGGTGTCTAGCTTTTAAAATGTTTATTTACATCACAATAATAAATATTGAAAAAGTTTTGTCGATTTGTTACACATCGAAGATAAGATGGAAAACTACATTTACAAGGATCATTCTTTGTTTAATCTATTTTAAAATTATATATATATCTAAAGGCATAAATAGACTACAATATTGTGTAAAACTTCTTGGACTACTAAACACTGAATAAGTAAAAGTATTGAATTTTTAATTACATACTACAAAACATTTTACCTAAGTATTTATATATATAATAACCCGAATTAAGAGATAAAATAAAAATGAATAAAAACGTTTACATAAAAAATATAAATTAAATTGCAAAACTGAATTTACTGACATAATTTTCAATCAAATTTTTTCAGTTTCAAAAATATCTCTGTAAAAGTTTTAAGGCGTTAAACCTATAATTTATAACATTGGAAAACTAAACTGAAATGTTCAGATATTGTGTAACTCGAATTACATTTTTTTGCCTTCTAAACACTAAAATTCGGCACAATTCAAGATCCGAATGTTTGGAACCTTAACAGAGCTGTAGAGCATACTTGTAGGAACAAAAAAGTCAAAGAAACCATATCTCTACCAGTGACCCTTCGCAGGATATAGCCCCATCCAAAAATTACTCTATGTGACATATTCCTATTCTTTTTATTCTATCTTCAAACCCCCACGGGTGTGTGTGTGTTTTCCAACTCCAAACATCTCCACGGATATGGGTATTTCTACGTTATCGACACCTTTCTACTACTACTTTCGGGGAGGCGATCGGGAGTCGCGCTGCTATCTCCGCTAATCCTATCGCGTGTTTAACAGGCAGCCAGGCAAGCCGGCCACATATATTCTAACGACACTTATCTGCAAAGACTAAAAAAACCAGATTATTACGGCTAATTAGGCAACGTTATGCCGATGTCACCGCACCTATTTGCCAAACAACTGTTGCTACTAGTAAAGTAAATCTGTGTGAAAAAGCGAATTGTGGTTTTTCACAACTCATTCCAAATGTTGCAAATTTCAATTTGAATTTTCAACTTCAATGTTTGAATTAAGAAAAGTAAAACTGGAAATCTTGATGCACAGAAAAATTGTAATCAAAGTATTAATGAAAATACAATTTCTACATTAAAATTTTTCCATATTTTAAGACTTAAAGCTACAAATAGCAATGCTTTTCAAAATTCAGATGAAGACAGGATGTTTCACCCAAATAAATCAGTTTTAAAAGTTCTGGATAATCTTGAAAACTATACAATATTTGAAAGGAAAGTACATTCATCTGTATTCATTGTGATAATCAAGACAATGAAAGTGAATGTGAGAATAAATTGCATTGTGATTACAATTTATGAACTTCTGATTGGAAAGAAATTGACAATTGACAAATTTCTTTCCAATTGAAGGAATGCTTTTTTTTACTTGCAATTTTCTGGCTCATATTCACCACAAGCACGTAATAAGCAATCATTTTGTTCATTATGTAAACATACAGCTTTAAATATCTCAGGAAAAGCAAAAACCCATTCCATAATATTATAAAAGTCATAGTCAGATAATCTAAAGCACTTTCTAGATAATTTAAAGCTTTCACTAAGAAGTATTGATTCTAAAATTCCAGAATTGAATGATAAAACTTGTTAGAGCTCCCTTTTAATCTCATTTGGTATTGTTTTGTGAAAATTGTCCAATTCATTTACTTTCTCCACACTATTTTGTATATTATCAAATAATTTAGTTTACTTTTTTGAAAAAGTTGTATATTTTTTTCAGATTTCATAATATTTCAATTTTATTCCAATCTGAAGTTCATAAATTATGATTACAGTGCAATTTATTCTAACATTCACTTTCATTGTCTTGATTATCACAATTAATGAATACAGAAGAATGTACTGTACTTTCCTTTCAAACCTAGCATTGTTTTCAAGATTATCATTTAAAACTGATTTATTTTGGTGAAACATTCTGTCTTCATCTGATTTTTAAAGCTTTGCAGCTTTGAGTCTTAAAATATCGAAAAATTTTAAGGTAAAAAGACAATATTAAAACATACCATTACTTGTCGCATTCACTTTCCTTGTCTTGAATATCGCAATTATTGAATCTACTGAGTTTTATTCCTAATTATTACAATAACAAACACTGGGTGGAAATGGCCGAAGGCGATCGTGCGGTTTATAAAACCTCGGGGGCGAGATGCGCTGCATTTCTGTGGCCGAGGGAGGGCAGCGTGGATGGGCCAGTTCCTCGTGCTCGCATGTCTGAAATATCAGCTCCGATGTGGTTCTGGCAGTTACCTGGTGGGCACGTGCGAAGTGAACCACCGTCACGAATGACGTCATTAATTTGTATTAAATATCTTATCCTGATTTTTCCACGTTTATTTTATTGAAAACTTTCAAAATTTAATTCAAATACTATAAATGTCCGTTTTTTTCAATAAATTACGATATAAATTTATGATTTTGTAAGTTAATTTGACATAATTCTAAACAGACGATCTCCGATAATTTCGACCGTTAAATCAACGATTTCATTAGATTTTAGCGAAAAAATCGGCAATCTTTGGCTTTATTGGATGTAAATCCATTAATTTTCAATAAAAATTAATTACAATCCACTTTTCTAGGCTTTAAAATAACTTACCTTCTCATATTTCATTCAAAGTTTGAACCAGATGCCATTTTGTTCGTCTGCTTTCTGTAGCCTCGGTCATAAAGGTTCGAGATTATGGATATTAAAACTTAATTAAAATATCAAATTGTTTCGTATTAATATTGCAATAATTATATAATAAACTTAAATAAATGTTTTAATTTAAAGTATAGTTTTAAAAAAAGAAAAAATATTCTATTTTTGTTTTTATTTTTTTTATTAGGGTTACTAAATACGACCGAAGCACTCAATTTATTTCTGTAAAATGAATTAAGATTAAAAAGATAATTTCCTCGGTAAAGACTTTATCTTAAAGAATATACTTTACAACAGTTCAAATTTGAATTTTACTTTTTTGGCTGTTACGTATAGCCTATGTTATGGACTAAGTTATTAATATGATTTATTATAGATTAAGGATTAATTAATTAATAATAAGTTTGTCATTATTCATGATGACTGGGCATATAGAAAACGTTAAAGTAATTTTGCTTCAATTTGAGCGGAAAGATCTATGCCCTTCGTGGTACGACCAAACCCCGTCCAGATATGAGACGGGTCCACGTATCCGGGTCAATTTCGTGAAAATTTGAGTCTCGACTCAAACTAGAGTGCCTAGAATGGTTCCTTTACTGTCTCGGCCATCCAGCTCTCACATAACTTCATTGTGACATCAGCTCCTTTAAAAATACAACAGTTACTGTTCCTTACCAAGCGGTTTCGTTCCCTGAACACTGGGAGTTCGGTCATTGGATCGGACGGACGGGCTACGTGGAGTTTTCCGGATTTTCTCCATGTCTATAACTTCTGAATAGGGGCCAGTTACCCTTAAAAGACCTCCCTGAAGGCATTATTCGCCGCGTAAAGACCATCATAAACGCATACGTGACAATTACGTCACACCATACCACAGAACGATATAGCCTAGAAGCTCATGCCCAACTAGCTGATACAAGACTATTTCTTAATGATTTCAGCTGTCGTACTTATAATAAGTGAATACTAAATATAAACAATTGAAGAAAAAATTTTAAAAATGTATAAAAAAAAAATACTGTCTGACATTTAAATTGACGAATGTGACAATATAAAAGATTACAGTCTTTTAATACTACAAAATATGAACATCTATTAGTAACTTATAGGTGAATTAAATTTGAAATTACATTTCAACATTGTTGCGAAATCCCCAAAACAAAAGTAATAACTCTCTCAAACACATGACGGCAATCGACAAATCCCTAAATTACAAATAAATGAACCCTCAAAGGTATTTATCGCAATATACGAGTATATCAATGGATTGGATTGGATGGAATAAGGAAACGCAACACGAACTGTCTCCCAAAGAAGAAGGATTTTCTTTGGGAAATTAGTCCCTATTTAGGTGTTAGGGGCTGTCCATATATGACGTCTACACTGGAAAAGAAGGAGGAGGTTACGACAAGTTCAGCAAAGTCCTACAAGGGGAAGGGTTGAGCTTCAGTGGACGTCCGTTTATTTCATTAAACTTTATACAGTTTATACATTTTATTATACTTATTTCAAAAATTCTTATATGTTTCGTTCATAATGTGATAAAGGTTTTAAGGGGGAGTCGAATTTTGTTAGATCTGAAGAAGTAAGGGGGTTACGAAAACTTGGACAAACAGACAAGTGTGGAAGAGAAGTAAATATTTCAATAAAAATGCGGATGTAATTTAAGGACAGCTCCAATAGATATGTAAAAAATACCTGAAAACTCCATGTGGCCAATCCGTTGGCGAGCGCGATCGACTACGAACGTTCAATACTTTTTTCTACTCGGCCACTAGTGGAACATGTATCAATGTGAAATAACTAATTTACATATTTAACATTGGTGTTCAGCCATTGATCTCTTGGTAGCTGTACATTGATTACTTACTGTCTTTCTTTTTACTTTCTATAAATTATTCCTTTCGATTATACTCTTTTCCTTTTTAATTATTTTTATTAATTAATTATTTATTTATACTACATATTTTCTATATCGCTTCTATATCGCCGTAATTACAATACGACGGATCGTACTTCAGAATTAAACATATATTCAATTTGAACTCCAAGTCTGTCTTAGCCGATCCTGCTAATTGCTGCTGCTTGACCCGAACAGGTAACTCACCTGTCCCAAGAAGTAGAGTGAACCAGACCGCATTGGCCAGCTCCACTACATATTTAACGCAAAACTAAAGTGGCCCGATTCGGAAACAATCGTCTATATTGGTCAATGGAAACATTTGATTTAATTGGAAAAATGAATTACCCACAGCGAGATGATCTAAGACAGCTAAAGCAATATAGGCAAAGGAGTGCATGCGACAGTAAATTCAACAGACAAGAATATACGGTATCAGAAAATTTCGGGGCATTTCTCATCACCTTCAATTGAAAATATATTTATTGTTGTCGCTTGAATTTTATTTACGGTAAAGTAATTTACATCATCTGTGTAATATAAAGTGATAAATCAGAAAATAAATAAAAACATCAGACAGAATCCGAAAATATCAATAACGTTTATTGAATGAATCAATTTAAATACATGCATTTTAAATTAAATATATTAATTAGGAAATTAATAATTTTGCTTAATTGGATGTCAATTTGAAAATCATCATCATTTAATTAGATGTGTTAAAAATTTTCAGATAATCATTATTAAAATTGTTAAATTTGATTAGAAATTTTCCAATTTCATTGTAAATAATTTTGGAAGTTGATTTTGAAGTTTTAAATTCGATTATCTTCAGAATTTTATCTCCGTTCATTTGAATAAACTTAAATTTCAATTTTTTTTAAATTTTCTTTTCTGAAAATATTAAAATAAAATGAAATTAAGATACGAAAAATCCGTTTTCTTATAAATTACTTATACCAATAAATTAATGCCGGAAATTTGTATTTCATCTAACAATTAAGATATAAAATTGTGGTATTTTCCACCACTGAACTCGTACAAAACACTGAACTCGATAAAGTATAACACTTTAAATCAAGAATATTAATTAACTAACCAAAAATAAATGGGTTATTTCAAAATATTTGTCTAAAACAATTAAAGTTTGTTCAATGAATTAGTCACACGATTATTGAAGTGTCATCGAATTAACAGGGGTACGACATTGCACTCTGTATGACCCACCTTTTCGGTTGCATTGGGTTGATGGGATACGACAACGTAACACACCTGTCATATGGTAAGATCTTGTACCTCCCGTTAAGAGTTTCTATGGGGATACTGGCACATACTTAGATGTAGCCCGAAAAACTTCACATGACCGAATGGTCATGTGAAGTTTTTCGGGCACGAGGGGGCACGAATCCATTATTATTTCGATTCTCGATTCTAATAAACAGAAAAAGTCTTATCCCGATTAATATTGGGGACGTCAACACATTATAAGAATTAAAATTCTCTTTCAGTTATCCATCACACGAATGCTTTGGTTTAATGCAGGGAAAAATGAAAAATGTCATTCTTCTGAGAATCTGCATCACAACGTCCAAACATTTTGGAGGTTCCTGAAAAAAGTATAAATATTTTAATAAATCAAAAATAATATAAAACAATTTTCAAGTATCTTAAAAATATAAAACGAAATATTCTAGGCTTATATATAAAGTGTTTTTTTTGCAGAAAAAATTAATTGTACTCGACATCAATTAAAAAACTTTTAAACTTTTAAAATATTTTGATGTAAAAATGACAAAAATACTCCGAATTAGTAAACAATTCATTCAATAAATGAACATAAATAAAGATGTGTGATTATATTTTATATAACGACGTTTGAATACTAATAAATGAAATTGCCCTACGAAAATCAAACGGTTAGAAATGGCATAAAAAATCGCTATTAGAAAGACACGCATTGTTATTTCTAAGTGTTATCAATAATACCTAATTGTGAAAATGTATTTTAAGTTGTAACATTTCTAAACGTTTTGAAATAAAATAATTTTACATAAAAATTATTAATTGTCATGCATTAAACAACATTAAAAACAAAATCTCAAACAGTTTAAATTAGTAAGTTAATTGTAAATTCAGATAAATATAAGTAATAATTGCAACCAGTTTAAATACAGTATTTCATGATTATTACAGATTTAGAAATGTCCATTTTATAAAATGAATACTGTAGTTATTATATTAATTTACATATATTATTTATAAATGTCGACAAAAGTAGGAATAGATAATCGTTTTCTTACGTTTTTAACAGATTCCGAAATGATTTCTGCTCCAACGAAACTTTTATCTTCGTCGTTTTTCGTTTCTTGGATATGAATTTCCTTTGTGAAATTCTCAGTTTCATTGTTTATTGGATCTTTGTTTCTTTCCTCGCTTTTTTCTGCAAAAAAGACAATCTTACTGTTTAAAACGTCTCTTAAAATTTCTATTGAAGTTATAAACTGCTACATCAAACACGATAAAGTATAATTAAGATTGGGTCTGTCAATGTATTAAAACTCGTCAGAACTACTTTAATATATAAATGTGCTTTACGGCTAACAACGTGTTATTATTTTCAAAGTAAACTATTCTGGAAATTTGAGAATTCTTCGCATATTAAAACAATGTTTAGTTATACAAATGAAGAAAAGCATTAAGGAGATAAATACTATATAACGTATCTTACCTTCTTTACATTTCTTCACTCGAATCGTTTCCTCGCCATTGCCAGGTGTTATCATTTCATCTTTGTCTGATGAATGGGATGGTTCAATATTTACATCAATTGGTGATTCACTTTCGGATAAGGATTCAAATATATCACCGAATATCGATACGTCAGTTTCAGTATCGACCTCATCAGATTTTTCATTGGAATGAAAGTCATTGTCATCTTCACTTATTGTAGTGCTCGTTTCTAATTCATCGCTTTCGGATAGCTCGGACAGTTCGTCTTCGATATAATAAAATTCTTCTTCCTCGTATATCACTTCTTTGACTAACGATGTTTTTTCTAAATATCTAAAAGCGCATTTCAGAGGTCTTTCGTAGAATTCGTCCTTTATCCACGCGGGAGGCATATTCAGGAGATCGGATTTCGTTGGAAACTAAAATTTAATTTTAAAATATTTATTAAGATTTAGTAAATTTACACATTCAATTCAAACAGTATTTGACAGTTTTTAGTTAATTTATTTAATGGCCTTTAAGAATATTTTCTTATACATTTGGCCAATTTATATCGAGTGTTTTTTACAATGTCTACTGCTATTACAATGTTGTATTTATTAAGCGATGTAAATATCAAGAAATTTGCCGAAAAGAATAATCTAATCATATGTAAACTTACAGTAATAGAAACTTCGTCGACATCGAAATCTTCCGATTCGTCAATTGTGGTGTCTCCTGTTACGTTCATTGTTGTTTCAGTTTGTTTAACTTGCTCCACAATTTCTTCTGTATTGAAAGATGCGGAATTATCCGTATCAGAATCACTTGTATATGAAATTCCAGGTTCTGATTCCACTTCTAAAGTATAGCAATGCACGAAAAAAAAAATCACTAAACTTTATTTCAAAGTGATACAAAATATTAAAGCAAATAAATTTCTTTTATATTAAATGTACAAAATACTATAACTTTATGTTGAAATTTATTATGAATATTTAATAAATTTGTTTCAAAAAATTCTTAAAATTGTATTATTATATTTCGTGAATGAACATTCCATTATAATTAGCCAGAGTTGTGGACACCCGACACAAAAATTACGGGGTCGTAGTCCACATATCTGACTGTTTTCTCTATAGTCGTATTTGTACTGATGAATTACATTTACTATTTATGTTTATTTATATACTTAAAATTATATAAAATGTTTTCTAGGGATTTTGTAATTAAACTGTTATTGTACAAGATCTAAATGGTCTATTGGCTGTAGGGATACGGCCTGGGCTTTATTTCATTAGCCCTACGAACACTTATTTTAAATATAACTGTTGTTATTGGTACATAATCATTAATATATTAGTTTGTGTTTTATGTATTTTGTATGTTATTATTAATGTAAATTTAATATAATTTACCATTATTATGTGGATGCGTAGATATCGAAAAATCTTCACGAGTTTCTAATAAAGAATCTTTATTTTTTATTATATCCGGAACGACAATTTCATGTTCGGACACTTCTTTTTGAGTCTCACATTCCGATTGAGGATTATTTTCCAACATATTTGGTTGAATCGAATGTAGCGACGTCTCGGCTACAGGAGACTCCGATTCGTTTATTCGCATTTGAACTTCTAGAAGTTCATTTTCTTCCATCTCTGCCCGTGGCCAAAATTCTGGTATATTTGTTGCCACTTCAAACTGCTGCTCTTCTTGGAAAGGTTCATTTGAAACCACTTCCGCCTCTGACCAATAATTTGGGGTCTGAAATCCTTCTAATGGCGGTCCGTATAAACCGTCTTGACTTGGATGTCCGTAAGCAAGCGGTACAGAAGCTTGCTGATATGGAAAAAGTAGTGAATAATGTCTATATTCGCCATTTGGTATGAAATACTAAAATGTAAAACAGAATTAATTAGTTATAAAAATATTAAGTATTTGTATTATTTTTATGCAATCTTAACATCACTTGTATAATTTATTTCCGTTATTGTATGAATATTTACTGTAAGATAAAGTAAGATAAAATTGTATTTTTTCACTTACTTGATAATCATAAGTAACATAAAAACCATCTTCGTACCAGAAAATAGTTTCAATGCAATAACAATCAACATCTGTAAATAATAATTTTATAATTATTACATGTAATTAACTCATTGAAACGAGAAAGTACAGAATTGATCATTATCATAGTTTACATTAGAATATTTTCATTTATTTTCTATAAGTTACATTTAACGCGATGCTTTTATTTACGTTGTTAACCCGCGGTGATCTAATGAATAAAATTATATGTATAAGAGGAAGTGGTAAACTTACTGATAAAACTCATCTTCAACAAAATAATAAACAGAAAATTAACTCGCATCGAATAACTTCGACAAAAATTTCGCTTTGACAATCGCCAAAACTATATTATTAGCAATTATTGTTAACGCAGCAATAGACGAAATAGGTATTGTTGCGCGGCGCGTACGACGCGCGTCACGCGCGCGATAATCAGTTAATTGCCAAGTACATTATAAGAAGCCTAATATAATTGTATAGGATGATTACTTCTGTTTCGTATTACTATTTGCATATGGTTTTGTTACTATCCGTTTGTAAAAAGATTGAATTCGAATCTCGAGTTAATATTTACCTCGGCTCGGAGCGTCGTCGCGTTGCGTTTCTTATTATTCTCGATACGTTTATTAGTCTATATTACTATTGCTTTGTGTCCCGGGGTGCAAAGAGTAAAATAAAATGAAGGCAGTAAAAAAAGTTAAAGGAATGGTGACAGAAAATAATTTTAAACCATATTCCGTTGCCTTCTTACGTAGACATCTCGAGGTATGAGGCAGCTAATTTATTTGTTAAATCTATTTATTTACTTGGAATAGTAAGAAGATAATACACTCTTTTGTTGTTTCTTTTAACAGTGGCGTGCCGTGACATTTGATGATAGGAAAGCTGTGTTTCCATAAAAATTTTGAACAAATACTGGAAATAACAAAAATAAACAATTTATTTACTTTCATTCTAAAATAGATAATTGACACAAAACAAAGATTTAAAAACTTGTTTTTATTATTTTTTATAAACTAACTCTATTAGGCAAATTTTTTCCCGCAAAGTCGTTAATTACTTTATCATAAAAATAGCTTGTCGTTGATTCCGTCAAAGTATTAAAAGGCTCTTTTTCTACCGAAAGCAATGCTAGTGACGACGATCTTTCCTCCGACCGAGTGTGTTTCTTGCCAATGTATCAATTCGCTTCGTGGTTGAAAAACTGCGCTCAACAGACACACTGTTAGAGGGTACCTTAAAAATTAATGATATTAAATCATATAATTCTTTTAGTACATCTTTGTTCAGATCGTCATTAATTATATGTTTTGTGTCAAAGAGTGATTTGCCAATATAGTCTGGATACGAATATAAACATTATTATTCACTACGTAATTTATATAAATCAAAAAATTCTCCATAATATTTACAGTACAGTCGACCCTCCTATAAGATATAGATACGTTCCAATTTATTAGGAATCCGATTTCTTACAAGTTGTTCCAATCACAGCCCGACACGTGTAAAGTTTACGGACTACGGCTGATTGAAAGGTTTTCTTCCATAAAATTAATAGATTCTACACTAATCNAATTATTAAAATCTAAAAGTGATAAAATTCTAGATTTTATGTCTGAAAATCTGTCAATATAATTATAATTAAATATAGCTTTGTACAGAAACGAACATAAAAATAACATAAAATCTTTACTTTTTAAATCTCAAAACAATGCACTTACTAATGGCTCCGTATCAGTGGCTAGTGGATGGAATCATTGTAAGCGTTATACGATATTTTGGTGTGGCATCCATCGGCTAAACCGCGTGAGATTGGTGCTCTGTAAAGCGCAAGCGCGAATGCTTTGTAATCTGGATGCTTTACACGATTCAGATATTTTCACCGTAGAAGATGTCCCGTATTCGACAATATATGCATACACGAATTTATATTCGAATGTGAGATCCGATCTATGTGTAAACCAATTTTTCACTTTCCATCGAAACTTTCAACATACCATATTTGAAATAAATTTATCACCTCTCCGTTAAAATAACATCGTCAGAAAAAAGGAGTCAAATATCTCATCAACAATGATAGCAGGTTATAACTCTCCTCTTTAATGTAAGCATTCACCTATCCAGGCATTCATTCTCACACTGCAAGACTTACAGCCGATTGCACAGACAACGTTTACAGCCGATTGCAGAGAGAACGTTTAGGTGCCGACGACGATTTAGAGATCGTGTAGACCGCGGTTGAGAAAAATTTCATTGCAGAGACGGCGTTTCTCGCTTGCCACAGTTTAGACAGCGATTAGAAACAAGTTATTTGACCTGCTTTCTAAACTCCCTTGATAGCAGGTTTACACACCATTGTAGGCCTACCTGAATAGAAGTCGCCGTATTCATTTGTTCGAACTGATAACTTTAATGAAACTATATAATTAATGCATGTTTAAATGTATATTTCAGGTAATCTGTGATGGAAAAATGAAAATTAGAAATATTGTTGCTCGATGGCCAGGTTCAACGCATGACAGTAGAATTTTTACTAATAGCAGTATTAAAGATAAACTTCACCAAGGATATCTGGTTGGTGACAGTGGCTATCCTTGTTTGCCATATTTAATGACCCTATTTTTACATCAGCAGAATCATACTGAAAGACGGTATAACGAAGCTCATTCACGAGCAAGAAATATCATCGAGAGATTATTTTGGATCTGGAAAAGACGATTTCCATGCATTGGAAGTTGTCTGAGAACTAAATTAGACAACACATTTAATATAATAATAGCCACAGCAATTTTGCACAATTGGGCCATTGATTTTAATTAGGAACAGTTTATTACTGNATTTTGCACAATTGGGCCATTGATTTTAATTCGAAAAATATATAAAAAGTAGCAGCTTTTTTGCCAGTGTAATTTTATTTTTAATTAAAATTTGCGATTAACAATATTTTTAAATTACTGTTAATATACCGGTATTAATACATAATATAATGTTATATTATATATTAGTCTTACATTATTAGTACTTCCCTGACTTACTCCTTTTGGATATGTCAATGAAGTTTATAATGCTTAATTTCATTTGCTTTTTTATAAACACTTTCTCAAACAAAAAAACAACTAACATCAGTTCAAAAATGATAAAATGACCATTTTATGGCATGTTTTTCAGCTTTAACTGGATTATTGTAAATACTTAAAGACAAAAAAAAAAAAAACCTAATTCCAGCAATAACTTTATAATTTTATCTAACGCTTGACTATCTGTGTAGCCATCGTCAGAATCGAACACTTTGAATAGAATTCTTTAACGTTTAAATATTAATTTCTAAACCAGAATTATTTAAATACAAATTTAGTGCTGCAAGTTATGCAATTTAATGGTTCAAAAGTTTTTAAATATATTTTCCCTTAATTTGAAAACAAATAACTTATATTACACTACACATAACCATTGTGTTATTTCATTTATATTTGCATTTTTATGTAGTAACTAATTACATTTAGAGGAATGACCACTGGCTTTACAATTTCCGCATTTACAACTGGTATAAATTTTCTATTATGTCTGTACGAAATGATACAAATAAATGTTATTTTTATCGCTATATCTTTGAAATATCATGTAATTAACCTGTCAGAAACATAAGATTAATTTATAACAATAAGCTAATGAAAATAATTAATATGACTCGCGTTCTGACAGTTTTTCAAGAATCATTCGAGTCCAGGGAACGAAGCTGCTTGGAGCTTAAGGGACATTAAAACAAAAAAATAGTCTACTGTATATATTTTTTGGAATTATGAGAAATACAGTTGTATGAAGGGTACAACAGATGGGAAGAATGAGGAAGAAGAGAGTTTCCTTGACTGGCATTTTGTATGAAATGTCATTATCAGTCTTAGGTACAAGAAGAAAAAGTCAGCTCCTACGCTCTATCAACGATAAGTGTCTAAATAGGCTTTGTTCGGATCTACTGTATTCGGTTAACTTTTGCAATGCCTGTTATCACATTTCAGCATCCTCAATAGCTTTTTGATGATTAATTTTAATATTTATTATGTTTAAAAACACATTCTCGAGTTTATTTTCTGAATTACTGATTTGTTTGGAATAAACTTTTTTATTTGAGAGAATCGAGACACACACATTAGTTGACTGCTTCGATCGTATTTAGTAACCCTAATAAAAAAAATAGAATATATATATATTCTATTTTTTTTATTAGGGTTACTAAATACGATCGAAGCAGTCAACTAATGTGTGTGTCTCGATTCTCTCAAATAAAAAAGTTTATTCCAAACAAATCAGTAATTCAGAAAATAAACTCGAGAATGTGTTTTTAAACATAATAAATATTAAAATTAATCATCAAAAAGCTATTGAGGATGCTGAAATGTGATAACAGGCATTGCAAAAGTTAACCGAATACAGTAGATCCGAACAAAGCCTATTTAGACACTTATCGTTGATAGAGCGTAGGAGCTGACTTTTTCTTCTTGTACCTAAGACTGATAATGACATTTCATACAAAATGCCAGTCAAGGAAACTCTCTTCTTCCTCATTCTTCNGAAAATTCAAATTGAAATTTGCAACATTTGGAATGAGTTGTGAAAAACCACAATTCGCTTTTTCACACAGATTTACTTTACTAGTAGCAACAGTTGTTTGGCAAATAGGTGCGGTGACATCGGCATAACGTTGCCTAATTAGCCGTAATAATCTGGTTTTTTTAGTCTTTGCAGATAAGTGTCGTTAGAATATATGTGGCCGGCTTGCCTGGCTGCCTGTTAAACACGCGATAGGATTAGCGGAGATAGCAGCGCGACTCCCGATCGCCTCCCCGAAAGTAGTAGTAGAAAGGTGTCGATAACGTAGAAATACCCATATCCGTGGAGATGTTTGGAGTTGGAAAACACACACACACCCGTGGGGGTTTGAAGATAGAATAAAAAGAATAGGAATATGTCACATAGAGTAATTTTGGGAGGGGGCTATATCCTGCGAAGGGTCACTGGTAGAGATATGGTTTCTTTGACTTTTTTGTTCCTACAAGTATGCTCTACAGCTCTGTTAAGGTTCCAAACATTCGGATCTTGAATTGTGCCGAATTTTAGTGTTTAGAAGGCAAAAAAATGTAATTCGAGTTACACAATATCTGAACATTTCAGTTTAGTTTTCCAATGTTATAAATTATAGGTTTAACGCCTTAAAACTTTTACATAGATATTTTTGAAACTGAAAAAATTTGATTGAAAATTATGTCAGTAAATTCAGTTTTGCAATTTAATTTATATTTTTTATGTAAACGTTTTTATTCATTTTTATTTTATCTTAATTAAGTTTTAATATCCATAATCTCGAACCTTTATCAACGAGGCTACAGAAAGCAGACGAACAATAATGGCGTCTTGTTCATACTTTGAATGAAATATGTGAAGGTAAGTTATTTTAAAGCCTAGAAAAGTGGATTGTGTATAATTTTTATTGAAAATTAATGGATTTACATCCAATAAAGCCAAAGATAGCTGATTTTATCTCTAAAATCTTATGAAACCGTTGATTTAACGGTCGAAATTATCGGAGATCGTCTGTTTAGAATTATGTCAAATTAACTTACAAAATGATAAATTTATATTGTAATTTATTGAAAAAACGGACATTTATAATGTTTTAATTAAATTTTATTAAATTTTAAAAGTTTTTAATAAAATAAACGTCGAAAAATCAGGATAAGATATTTAATACCGTACAAATTAAATGTGTTAATGACGTCATTCGTGACGTGAGAAGAGATTAATCAGGCAAATCTTTGATGCTTATCCTTTGTCTGTAAGATTTGTCATTTTAAATATATTCTCCGACTACAAGCATTGTTATATTTAAATTTTTTTAGATCATCGTAATACATTCAAATATATATGGAATACTAAAACCATATTAGTTGCTACTTAGACAAGAATTTTAGAATCTTTAGAAGGAAAACAAATGTAATTCGAGTTACCCAATATCTGAACATTACTTAGTTTTCTAATGCTGTATATTTAACGCCTTAAAATTTTTACAAAGATATTTTTGAAACACAAAAAATTTGATTTGAAAATTATGATGTCAGTAAATTCAGTTTTGCAATTTAATTTATACAGGGTGGACCAAAAGTCTCTTAATATTTGAAATGCCCGCTGCTTCCACGTGGGCGCTGGTATCGGGGCGGGGAAGGTATCAGATGGGAGAGAGGCCAATAGGGATTTAGTGTCAACGTGCGCTTTGTGTTCGCGAGTACTATAGAAAAACAACGATTCTGCGACCGAAGCTAGACGGAAATTTTGTCCTCATTACAATATACGGAACGCAACTCAAGCTCCAACAATTCAAACAATTAAGAATTAGATGCGAAAGTCGAGACGACGGGTTCAACATTAACGCAGCCACGATTCGGCCGACCCCAGAACGTCCAGAGAGCCGGAGAACATAAGAGCCGGAGAACGTCCAGAGAGCCAAGACGTCCAGAGAGCCGGAAAACATAGAGCGTGTACGAGCGTCTATTCGAGAGCAACCGCGCCTGTTCACTCGAAAGCGGTCTAGTGTCTTAAATGTGGCCAGAACATCTCTAAATCGCATTCTACACAAGGACCTACATTTACACCCGTACAAAATTCAAATTGTACAGAAATTGAAGCAAGGAATTGGCCAAAAACTGATATAACAAAAGAGGTGACATTAACTTGCCACTTCGCAGCCCGGATTTGTCCCCAATGGACTTTTTCCTTTGGAGATATCTTAAAAGTAAAGTTTACATCAGCAACCCAGAGTCTATTGAAGAATTAAAAGAAAACATATCCAATGAAATGCAAAACATTTCACCAACCACTTGTCGGGCGGTCATGGAAAATTTCCGGTCCAGGTTACAGGAGTGTAAAAATAAACAAGGCTACACTTATGTGATGTTGTATTCAAAAAATAAAACTCTTTATAATTTAAAACTCTTTATAATTTAATAAAACTCTTTTATAATATACTTTAAAATACAATAAACAGTTGTTGATTAAAACAGCGTGTTTATTTTTTATGACCATTTGAAATGTTAAAGGACTTTTGATCTACCCTGTATTTTTATGTAAAACGTTTTTATTCATTTTTTATTTCATCTCTTAATTCGGGTTATTGTATATATAAATACTTAGGTAAAAAGTTTTGTAGTATGTAATTAAGCATTCAAATACTTTACTTATTCAATATTTAGAAGTCCAAGAAATTTTACACATTACAGTACTGTATTTATGCCTTTTTATATACACATACATATACAGTATATTAAAATAGAATAAACAAAGAATGATCCCTGTAAATGTAGTTTTCCATCTTATCTTCGATGTGTAACAAATCGACAAAACTTTTTAAATTTTTATTATTGTGATGTAAATAAATATAATAATGAAAATATAAATATTTTGTTTAAAAACTTTTAAAAATGAGAGCAGCGTAAAAACGTAAAAAAATATTTATTATCTGAGAATATTTAAGAAATCGTTCACAGACCTTACTTTAAAAGAAAATAAAATACATTTACAAGTTTGAAAGTATAAATTAAATCCTTTAATTTATACTTTAACATTTACATCACTTTCTTTACTGTTATCAACAAAATTATCAGTTTTTTCTCTAAACAATGGTTTATCATCTTTTGTAATGGTTGCCCAAGGTTGTACTTCAGAAGATGCAGTTAACAAAAACAAAATTCCTCCAAAAACGAAAAATCCTGCTGATATATAAAACACAAGGCTCCATTTTTCTATACTTCCGTGCTGTAATATTAATTATTATTATTTAAAAACAAAAATTTCATATAACAGTAATAATTAGAGTCACTTACAGATTCTTCAAGTAATATACCAGCTATATAAGGACAGAAAACTGCTGATGAGCATCCAACAGAATTTACTAAACTATATATAACACCTGAAAAATAATAAAAGTATTTAATATCCAAAACATAATTAATTATCTTACATTTTGCTATTGAAAATAACCTGCAAAACTAGGTGCCATATCAACAACAGTTGGAAAATCTCCCCCTCCAGTCATTCCAAACAATCCTAGTGATAATGTTAACATTATTATAACCATTAAAGGATTGTAACCTATTAACGGTATAGAAATTAAACATATCGCTGGCCCTAACATCCCTATAACAAAAAGAAATTGTTTTAAAATAATTTTAACTGAATATTTATGAATGATATAGGTAATTTTAAAATAAATTAATTTACCCCCGGCTTCAAATATCTTTCTTATCACAGTTATCTTTAAACATTGACGATTACGTAAGTAATCGGATAAAAATCCTGAGCTTACCGAACTCAATCCTTCCGCAGTATGGAATAATGCATTAAGAAAGCCATTCTATAATTTAAAGAAAAGATATAACTTATATAAATATAAGTTACGCAACTCTAAATATCAAAAATAAAAATCACAAAATAGATAAATTACCTTATCTACTGAATAATGCAAAATAGATTCCATATACACAGGTAATTTTGTTAATATTGTGTAATAACCCCAGCCCCAACAAAATTTAGTAACTGCTACAGTCCAAACTGGTTTTGATGTCAGGATACTTTTCCAAGGAATAGGTTGTTTCTGTCATAATGAAATAAATATATAAATAAATACAGTTTCAACACAGTTTTATTGTTTTAATATTAACCTTTACTCACTTTATCTGTAACATTTGGAGTGTTTTCAATTATATAAATTAATTCCTGTTTTGATATTCTTGGATGCACTTCTGGACTTTCATATATCAATACAGCAAGTAATATAGTCAACACAAATCCTAAGAGACCTGTAAAAATTAAATTCTGAAGTCAAAACGCCTAGCATATAATAATTTTGTACAAAATCATTAATGTCGCTTACCAAATATATAAAATGCTGATGGCCATCCTCCAAAAAATCCATATTTACATAAATAACCACCTAATATCATAGACAATACAGTTCCTATGCTATTACCAGAAACAGAAATAGAAAGTAATGCGCTTCTTTCTCTTATTGGCGCCCATTTAGCGATGAGATTATACATAGCAGGAAATGATAATCCCTTTTATACAATAAATAACATAGATTAATATTACGTATAATAAATTGTATAAAGAAAAGGGAGTAACAAATACCTGTGATAATCCAGTAAAAATTCTGGCAATCACAACAACTTCATAACCGAAATCTGTAATTAATGGAATGATAAAAACCGATAATGAGCAAACTGCTGTGCCTCCCACAAAAATTAATTTAGCTCCAATTCTGCTAATAACCCATCCGGCATTTAATTGTCCAAACAAAAAACCATAAAAGAATCCGGCAAGCATAATTCCCTGAGTGGTTGGTGACCAATCATACTGTTTACTCTAAACAAACGACATAAAAATATGTAATATTCACTAGATAATTTATAAAAATAAGGATTTGGATATTGAACAGATACTCACTTCTTTGTAAATCTGAGTAATTTCAACATTATCATCTTTAACAAGTCGTTCGGTTAAGTTTTGACCATTTGTGTCCGTAATGTTGACCATTGTTACCATAGTTATACTAAGTATGACCCTTTGAGCATATTGAAAACACATAGTAAGGAATGCCAATAAGGTAAGGATGTATCTAGCTGGAAATACATCTGAAAAATATAAAGTATATTAAAATTAAACATAAATAAAAACATTAATTTTACAAAGTGTTAAATGATAAAATTACCTTCCAGTGTCATTTTTCTCAGTAATTCGTGTCACAGTTTTGTGGCTTTTATATAACACTCATGATACATTTTGAAAAACGATATTGTTATTAAATTATCTGATAAATAATAAATTTATTCCTCGAATGTTTTAATTTTTTAAGCATCACGTGTTGTATAATCAGATTTTATATCTTTTAAGATAAATTGATGGATTGTTTATATATTATTCTTTCAGATCTGAAGATGTTTTAATATCTTTTAACTCAAAGGAAAAAAGCCTTTGATTGTGTTATCGTCTAAATTGCGAAAATTACTGTCATCTTATTTTATTAGATTGTTATTTATTATCTATGTATTATTAATGATTTATGAAGTCGTCTACCATTGTTATCTCACTATTCTTTGCAGTCTTTGCTACCAGCATAATTAAATACTATATTAATGTGTCTGATCACCACAGTTAAGAATGTCAATTTGATATGACTTTGTATGAAGAAATTTTTTATTTATTTTTTGGAAACTTCAGTTTGTTTATAAAGCTTTTCTTTAATGAAAAGGAATTTGAAAACTGGTTACCATATAAAATTTGGTATAAAAACTCTTTCGTATTGATTTCGTTTTAAAAATATATGATGTTTTTGATGATAAAAGAATGTATTTTTTATAACTTTAAAATTAATAATACCCGAATATTTTCTCTTTTAAAATAAATTAGATGCAATAGGCTACTCTTCGCGTTATTTTTCTGAAGAATTTGTAATTGTTTTCTTACCAGTTACTTTGAACCATTTTTCTTTTATTATACAATTAAGAAATCTGCATGATTCCGTTCTTCATATAAGTTATCATGATTTTCTGTATTACATCTCCTGCGATTACATTAATTGATACTGTATTCTTTTGTTTTCTGTCAAATAAATAAGCTAGGTAACAATTTGTAATTTCAGAAATTTTAAAAAGTAATTTTAATTTTTGAAGAAAAATAATTAATTAATTTCCAGACAGTTTCGTGATTTTTTTATTTCCAATATCAAAAAAGAATTGTCTTCTTTTTCACGTATCGTAATTACTAATATATTGCATTATCTTGATACAAAATAGATTAATCTGATAAGTATATTTAAATGGAAGTAATATAGATACAGTATATACATACAAGAATTTAATGATTAAAATAAATGTAGATATTTAAAAAACGAATAAAATGAAGTAAATATTCTAGCAACGAGTTGCTAGAATTTTTAAGATAAAGATTTTTTAAAGTAAGGATGTATCTAGCTGGGAATACATCTGAAAAATAATTAATTTTTACAAAATCTAATTTATAAAGAAGTGAGTATCTGTTCAATATCCGAACTCTTATTTTTATGAATTATCTAGTGAATATTACATATTTTTATGTCGTTTGTTTAGATTTAACATCCTTACTGTTAAAAAATCTAGCAACGAGTTGCTTAACTTTCCCGGCAACATTTGTTGTCTCTATCTGTTATGATATTTTGTTTAAAAACCTTTTTACATTTTGACTATTATAAAATGGCAAAAAGCTTAATTTTGAGGGTAGGGATGAGTTTTATAAAAAAAATTTAAATGATAATAATGAGTAAAATCGTCATTAACTCCGATCCTACTCGAGATATACACGACCCCATTATCTCCCCACCCGTCGATCTTTATCCACCAAAATTTAATAGCATCTATTCATCCAATAAACAAACCTCCCTGAAAAATTTCAAAAATTTTCGACAAAAAGCATGGGAGTTATTAAGTTTCAAACACTGAACAAAATCATGCTTCCCCCCACACACTAACATCCATACATACAGAAATTACCCCCGAATTTTTTTGTATTTCTTGACGTCAAATGCAAAAAAATTGCATTTGACGTTTCAAGTCTTCTGAATCCAAAAATGTAAAAATCTGGGGGGATCATTTTTTAACCGATCGTCATACTTTCCATCTGTTATATATAGATATAACAGTCAGGAAAATAAAAATTGCTTAATAATCAGAATGAGACCACAAAGTNCAGTTTCGTGATTTTTTTATTTCCAATATCAAAAAAGAATTGTCTTCTTTTTCACGTATCGTAATTACTAATATATTGCATTATCTTGATACAAAATAGATTAATCTGATAAGTATATTTAAATGGAAGTAATATAGATACAGTATATACATACAAGAATTTAATGATTAAAATAAATGTAGATATTTAAAAAACGAATAAAATGAAGTAAATATTCTAGCAACGAGTTGCTAGAATTTTTAAGATAAAGATTTTTTAAAGTAAGGATGTATCTAGCTGGGAATACATCTGAAAAATAATTAATTTTTACAAAATCTAATTTATAAAGAAGTGAGTATCTGTTCAATATCCGAACTCTTATTTTTATGAATTATCTAGTAAATATTACATATTTTTATGTCGTTTGTTTAGATTTAACATCCTTACTGTTAAAAAATCTAGCAACGAGTTGCTTAACTTTCCCGGAACATTTGTTGTCTCTATCTGTTATGATATTTTGTTTAAAAGCCTTTTTACATTTTAACTATTATAAAATGGCAAAAAGCTTAATTTTGAGGGCAGTGATGAGTTTTATAAAAAATTTTAAATGATAATAATGAGTAAAATCGTCATTAAGTCCGATCCTACTCGAGATATACACGACCCCATTATCTCCCCACCCGTCGATCTTTATCCACCAAAATTTAATAGCATCTATTCATCCAATAAACAAACCTCCCTGAAAAATTTCAAAAATTTTCGACAAAAAGCATGGGAGTTATTAAGTTTCAAACACTGAACAAAATTGTGCTTCCCCCCACACACTAACATCAATACAAACAGAAATTACCCCCGAATTTTTTTGTATTTCTTGACGTCAAATGCAATTTTTTTGCATTTGACGTTTCAAGTCTCCTGAATCCAAAAATGTAAAAATCTGGGGGGATCATTTTTTAACCGATCGTCATTCCTTTCCTCTATTATATATAGCAGCCGGGAAAGTAAAAATNTCCTGAATCTAAAAATGTAAAAATCTGGGGGGATCATTTTTTAACCGATCGTCATACCTTTCCTCTATTATATATAGCAGCCGGGAAAGTAAAAACAAAAAAAAAACAGAAAAATATATATATATTTTTGTTGTTAAGTTCCATCGAGTCGTCGTCGACTCCTGGTGACTTCATGGACAAGTCTTCTCCATCTTGATCTTTCCCTTGTTGTCTCTCGTAGCTCCTCCAGCTTCATTTCTGTGACTTTCTCAATTTCTTCCATCCATCTTATCCGTTGCCTTCCCCTCTTCCTCTAAAGAAGAAAGCAATGGCAAACCACTTCCTCAACTCTTGCCAAGAAAACTACATGGACAAGGAATTTCAAAAAATATATGTATAAATATAAATTGTTTCAATGTGAATAGCGAATAAAATAAGCAAGATAGAAAACTGAGAATTGTATAGATTATACGGTACGTATGACCACATTTGTCCACTAGAAATGGGCGAATATCACTTCTTAAATTCGAACGTTAACCAGATCTCGAATACAGGAATACTTAGTGAAGTTATTAGTTCATATAGGTCAAATATCTAAGCGGTTAAGGTGGCAGCCTACAGCTCTGTGTTCCGGACAGGTCGAAAAATCCCAGAATTTTTCGGGGGTGATTCGTCTGAATATGTCAGATTAGTTCTCAAATGTCAGATTCGTTCTCACGACTTGGGCGTTCTTTGTGAGCCTGCTAAAACGGTTCTCTCGGTGCCCACACGGCGGAAAGAGTTATAAAGTACCTTTTATAATTTGTTTATTATTTAATTTGTTTTATTTGTTTCAATTTATTAATAAAGTAAAGTAAAAAGAAAAACAATTTACTAAGTTTTGAAATAAAACTTCAAACTTTTAATTTTGAATTTGAGTTTTAAAGTAACTTTTTTTTTTAAGTACTATTATCTTAACTATAATATATTAATAAATAATTGTTCTTATTCTCACTTACTGCATATTTTTATTTATGAAAACAAATATTAAAAACACACAGTCTGCTTATTTACTTGGTACAAAATATGTTTTTGTTTAAACTTCAAAATGTTTTTAAAAACATTGTGATGGCAAATATGGTTTATCAGATCATCCGCAATACATCGTCCTGCACGTGTTAATAAAAGGTACTTATGTTATTCAAATATTTTAATTTTGAGTTAAGGTTTGGGTGTTCTGGAACCGCTGTTGCGTATTTATGGCTCAACATTGCATGTATTCGAGTATTCGTGGATATTATTCGCCTATTTCTAATATCCAAGCGTATTAATTTACGTCTAGCGCTACATTTTAACATAAATTTCAGAGAGAAAGGATTTAAAAAATAATATTCAAGCAGTACAATGAGAGAATGAAATGATTATATATATATACAGTATTTTAAAGTTTAACGTGAATTAAGACAATATTTTCTAAAAATTTTTATTTTAGTAACAAAAACTAATTATAGTTTCATATTTATTATATAGCTATTAAATATAAATATACAACGTTATAGTTTTAGTAATTTAATAATATATTACATAGAGTTTATAGATACAAAATTTTGCTTTTTCTCCAGAAAGCAGGAATTATATAAAACGATCGTGTCATAAGGTGGAGATGCATTCTCCAGCGTTAACTTTTTGGACTGACTTTTGTCTTTCAGACTGCTGGTTAGCCCAAGGTTGAATTTCAGCCGAGCCTTTAATAATAAATATTAAACTACCAAATGTGCATAATCCGCTTGATAAATAGAAGACGATATTCCACTGAGTCAAGCTTCCCTCCTGTAAAAATAATGTAAGCAATTACGTATATTGGGCGAGTCAGTAGTCCCTTGCACTCTTTTCATTCCAAAAGTACTGAAGATATATTAATTTTGTTAATGTAGTTACATAGGAAGTCATGCGTGGAGAATCCGATGGAACCTTTTTGTTGACCTTGTGTATTGTAACCTTTTAATGAGCAGAGGTAACGTAGATGTTCCAATAACAAAGAGCATCATATAATTAGTCTAAAACCATTTTCTGGATTCTTAATTTGCATTGTGTAAACAGATGTTCAAGATATTAATTCCTTTTAAAAATGAGCTTTAAATTCATGAAGAGTAAAAGTGTTTTGTTTTAAATAACCTTGAAAATCATTTTCAAGTTCAACAAAGTGTTCCATCCGATTCTTCGAGCATGACTTCCTATATAACTACAAGATTAATATATTTTCAGTGCTTCTGGAATAAAAAGGGTGCAAGAAACTTTTGACTCGCTCTGTATATAAATAGATAGCAGGTTAATCAAACTAAACTAGTTAATTATTCATATGTATAACAACTTTAATGGTATTTACATTTTTATCTAGTATAACTCCCGCTATAAGAGGGGAAAACACTCCTGCCAAGCAAGCAAAACCGTTGGTTAAACCAAACAATATTCCTGTAAAACATTGTCGTTGTAAATAACGATGTTAAGTACATATTCTTATCATCTAATTTTGATAATATACCCGCATAATTATTCGCCATATCCATGATAATCGGAACATCTCCTCCAGCATTCATTCCGAAAGCAGTCAACGAAATTGCCAGAAGTGAGATGGCCAAAGTTTTATCGCATCCGATCTGAGTGACGATCATCAAACAGATGCTGACTAACAGCCGACCTGTATAAACAGAAGCATTTCATATTAATTTTCTTCAATGCGATAAGAACTAGACTATAAGATTAATTACCTCCCGATACGAAGAACTTTCTTAAAGTCGTTAAACCACAAATGTGTTTCTTCCTGAGAAAATCTGAAAAGTAACCACAAAACAAAGTCGAAAGAGCCAATAAAAAATGAAAGACAGAGTTCATCCACCCATTCTGCAATAAAATAATGTAATTTTAATTTAATTATAACCATTATATTTTGATAATCATATCAAATTAACAGCTGAACTTTTGCTCGTGTTTTTAATTTAAATTCATCACGTATTAAAATCTATTTAAAATGTAAATATGAAAATATTTACATTTTAAATAGATTTTAATATAATAATAATAATATCTTTAAGTTCGGATATAAAAAAAATAACATCACAGATTAATAAACATAAACTGTACAGTTAATTTAATGGTTAATTCTAGAATTTATGAATTCAAATACAAAATTCCCTCGTAAGTGAATCTACTGCATTTACTTCCTACAATAAGATGTGCTCCTGAGTGACAAGCATATAGCATAAGTAAGCGTAAGTGTTTCATAGGAAACAGCTTATGCGATTAGTTTGCTTACTTACTTAGCTACTTAATACATACAAGCACTAAATATATCAGTAGACATTTATGGAGCATGTAATTTTGAACTTGATTTAAGGATATGATTATCATATGTCTAAAGTTTTTAGTCGCAGTGTTTTGAAAATATATCAATATATGATGTTTGTATTCAGTTTAGAATGCAAGTAACAAATTTTCACATTAAAATAAAGTTTAAGTTATTATTTAAATAGGTTTAAAAACAAAATAAAACCTCATCTTTTATTTCAAAATATATTTTTCTTCTGACAATGAAATGTTTATGGAAAAAAATTTCAGCTAAGAATCAATGATTTCTAAGTAAAATCATTTTTTAAGTTACAAGGTATTTTAAAATAAATTAATCAAAATAAGAATATCTTACGTAAATATTCCTGTTTAAACAAATTAAGTAGGAATATTTTATGTCAAAAGTGAACAATATCTCATTGAAATTTAATTTGAAAATTGCTTATATATTATATAGGCCTATAAATAAGCAACTTTCAAATTTAGGGCATAATTTTCATAATTAATGTGAATTTGATGCCCTATAGTTCATAATTCTTTTAGTTTATGTCTTATGTTTATGTCTTGTTCAAATTATAATGCGATGGTTAGACATATAATTTTCAATATTTAGCAATGTTTTTATTAATATGATAGTGTTTAATTTGTTATAAGATATCTGAATTTATGACTTTTTGTTTGAAAGTAATATATATTAATGTTTCTTTCTAAATTTATTAATATTTTTATAAATAAAAATACTCTAATTTAAACATTATTGGTATAAATTTTATATTTATTTCTATATATAGACCTAGTATTTAAAAAATATTCATCATTCTTTTAAAGAGAAATATTTAATAATAGAACAATTGTTTACAAATTTTATTAATTGTAAATATTTATATGTATAAAATTAATATAACTCTATAAATTTTCTCAATTTTATATAATTATATTGATTTGTAATAAAGTTTTCAATATAGTTTAGGTATTGCTACGATATTAACATAAATACAGCCTAAATCTTTCTTTTTTCTTTTACTATAGTGTGTTAAAGTAAATCACTTAATATTTGATATAATAAATTAATTTTCAAATCTATTTTTTAAGCCTGAACCTCAACAGATATACTATACAGTACAGTACGTACCTCGTCAATGGGAGAATGCAGAACAGATTCAAAATAAGCCGGCAATTTAGTAAGTAATGTAAAAAATGTCCAAGCAGAAAAGAATCTAGCAATTGCTAAAGACCAAACAGCTCCTGAAGTGAGTATACCTTTCCAAGGTATGTTCTGAAAATAACAATAGACGTTTATAATTCTATATTAAAGTATTCAGCTTTCATTAAAAAATTAATTTGCCTGTTTAGCAGTTATATTCGTTTGATCTTGCTGAATGTAGAACAATTCTTTATTTGATATTCTCGGATGACTTTCTGGACTCTCGTATAAAAACAACAAAAGAATTAGGAACATCAAACATCCTAATGCACCTAAAACATAAGTAGTAAGTTTTTATATTTTAATTTTTTACGAGAAAATTTATTAGAAGAATAGTGTATATATACCAAAAACATAAAATGCCGATGGCCATCCGCCACTAAAACCATATTCACATAAATAACCAGTAACTGTCATCGATAAGATTGTTCCCATATTGTTCCCAGTCCAGCAAAATGCTGCAAGAGTACCTCTTTCTACAACAGGGGACCACCGAGAAAGCAATGTGTACATGGCTGGATACGCTACACCCTTAACATGACAAAAAATGTATTTAAATTTATTAAGAAATTACAATATGATTTTTAGAATGGTTAAACAGCTACCGATTGTGACGTTTTTCAATATATGTAAGAACATACAAATTAAAATATATTATGGAATTTGATGAATTTTTCTTTAAAATTTACCTGTGCTAATCCCGTTAGCGATCTTAGCACAATAACTAATGCGGCTCCATGTTCAGACAAGAATGGAATTAACATAGTAGCTAACGAGGAAATTAGTAAAGTGCCAGTGAACACATTTTTAGGACCAAGTTTTTCAGTTATCATGCCTCCTGCCACTTGGGTACATATAAATCCGTAAAAATATGATCCTAAAACGATACCTTGTATTGAGGGAGACCAAAGATATTCACCCTAAAAGATAGATTTTTAAAAATTTTTTCTATTATTTTTATTGTTATTTAAATCTATATTTAATCTATAAACTAAAGTCAACCCATTCTTGTTTCAGAATGAAAAATATTATATTATAATGTTAATTTTAATATTAAATTTTATCAATAATTCAAAATTTGCTCACACTTTTATAGTTGAACGTTACATTGGTGCCTTTTGTATCGGGGCACATTTCATTTAGTTCATTGCTCAGGTTCGATTTAACTTTCATATACGCTGTGTTATTAACCATGGCAACAATAGCCACATTTATTACAACTCTTTGGCTATAGAAGATGCAAAAAGTAAGAAAGCCTAGGCTAGTTACAACATATCTTGCAGGGATGCGATCTGTGATATTTAAAAATTATTGAAATTACTAAATTTATAATTTAATTCATTTAAATCAACCTCTCGTACTCACTCAATAACTTCATACTCTTTTCTTTTTTCTTTGACGCTATCCTATCACTAAGTGTTAAGTTAGAAAATAACAAATGCAATTGTTTTAATGAAATATATAAATCATACTTTCATTATCAGAAAAGCTTTAAATCTTATACATTAACATTACAAAATTTTCTGATAAAAAATGGTATCAAGGTTTTTGGTAAGTTACTTTATTATTAAATTGTTGTTTATATCGTGATTCGAAAATAAAGAATTTTCCAATTATATCATCATTAAGAATGATGATCATTTTATATGAAATATGGCTTTTAAAACAGTATTTTACATTCAAAAATATTATTTCAAAGAAGAGCAAAAACTGTATAATTTTTAAATTTTATTTTAAAATAAATAAATTTGCCAATTCTCTATAAATTATCCTACTGACATAAATAACATGATGCAATTTAATACTTTGTTTATCAATTTTTATGAAATTTTATAATGTTTTAGTCAAGTGTAGTGCCATTTACTGTAGGCCATTTTCCTACAGAAAATTTATATGTTTAGAATAATTATAATCCTGAAGTGTATTTTTGAAATCTCTATATAAAAGTAACAGAGGTTTTGCTACGTAATGTTATTTTGCAATCTTATACAATATAAACTTACGTGAATAATTAGAAAAAAATCATTAGTTATTTTAATTACTAAGCTAATTACATTCTTCTGGATGTATTTTATTGAAAATGTCTTAAAATTAAATTTAAAAAATATTAACGCATGAAAAAAATTTGTTTTCCTCGTCAGATGATAAATACATGATTAACGCATGATTAATTTTATCTTAAAGTACTTAAAAAAACCATCACTAAACAAACCCTGACTTCTCCTCCTCTTCTTCTTCCTCTTCCTCTTCCACCTCCACCTCCGCTAGCGCTAGCGCTTCCGCTTCCTCCTCCTCCTCTCTTAAATATTCTAAACGATGGTATGGAACTGTAATTTGAAATATAGAACTTTACGTAAAGGAAGAAAAATTATTGAATCTAATGGCATTTTACAATTTAAAAAATAAATTTTACATCACCTCTTTTAAAATTCATATTTTTATTTTGTTGGTAGTTTATATTTTTACTTCCACAATAAAATGAACTACTAGTTTTGATAATTGCATAAATAAAGAAAATAATACCATCATGTATTAAAGTAAACAAAAGTAACTTAACACATTCATGGTCACGTGAATTATAAAATAATCGACATTTTTCTGCCTCAAGAAAATTTAAATCCTATTCTTTTAGAATGGTGTATATCCAATGAAATTTTTTTCCTCGAATTAATTCAATAAAATAAAATTTATAGATTGTCAGTTTAATAGTGGGGACGAGAAAAAGTTTAAATTCAAGTGATTTTCCAATAATTATGGGTGCACGTTCTTCCAAATGTATGGAATCTGCTTAAATTATACTTGATAAATCTAAATTTTTATTTAGAGATTTAAATACTTTTCATAGGCATTATGTTCAAAAAATTATTTCGCCTATCATGTTATATTTAATTTGATACAATTTGTGTGAACATGTGTTTAAAATATGTTTTAAATATACATTTGTAATGTATAATTGTAATGTAATGTACACAGATGTTTAAAATTTTTATAATATAAATGTTTATAATTTTACAAATTTCAAGCATTAATACATTTAATCCTAATTTAGATTTTTATATAAATTTTTTCCCAATTTTGACAACATGAGCTCGACTTTACGTGTCCAAAAATTTACTCTCTCTTTTTATTTATGGATCCATATTCTTGTAAGTTTTTCCATAAAAACAATATAAATGTCTGAATGTTTTATGAATGTTATGATTCGCTCTATGAAAGATTTTATTTCTTAGATTTTTCTTTATTGGAACCAGCCTTTGAGTTTCTCGTAATGCATACATTTTTATTTTAGTTTTATTTTTGTATTTTTCATCCACAATTTCTAGTAAACTTGTGTAAATTTATAATATGTGATTTATGTACAGTACGTACATAGTTTTAGATTATTCTTATTTATTTACTATTATTATTTGTTTGTCTATTATACGTCTTATTGTACTATAGAATTATTAAGTTTTGATACACAATTGAAACGGTAAAATTGCTTTATTTCTACCGATTTCGGGGTCCCTAGTGATGTGCCTCACGTGCCTGATGGGAAATTTGGCACTGCTTCCAGTTATCAAAATGTTCAACAAAGTATAAAATGTTGAGGTTTATATAGATTTACCAGCCTTTATTTTCGGAGAATTTCGTGTTCTTTTGATTTTGAAAGGTAGCTTTGAAAATTTATTTTTGTATATTTCGTTCTTTTCTTTAATACAGTAATAGTTACCATGCATCATACTCATATTCCAGTATCCTTGGAATATTCGTTCTGATTTCGTAACATTGTATGGAAGTTTTTACTCTATTTTTCACTCACTGCACTTAGATTATCAGAAAGGTGTTCTAAAAGAAAATGTAAGAAATGAATTATAGACATATCTTGTATCTTAACTCGTTGAATTCTTGTGATATTTTCCATGATCTTTTTCAAATTATGATTTTTGTTTTCAAAACAATTCTGACATAACATTTCTGAAGCCTACCCTTACATTTTGAACTTTTAGTCTTTATGACCTCTGCTCGTACAAGAGTAAGAGAAAGACTATGTTGACGTCAGTTCAGCGAAAGAAGCGGTTTGCTTGAGCTAAGAACTACCTGTCTTGGAAGGAAAATAAATGGCGGACGGTCGTTTGGTCTGACGAGTCGCCCTTTCCAGTCGTATATGGAAATATCGAACATAGAGTCATTCGCTGGCCGATTGAAGACCTCAACCAAAACTGTGCGAAACAGGAAGTCGTTTTCAAGCATGGTTCAAGTGTGAAGTGTTTTGAATATTATGATATAGGTGATTTGGCTTTTTATGATGGGACTGTCAATGAGCAATGCTACCAGGCAATTTTCCATTTGCTTTCCGCAGCGTATCTTCGCACTGCATTTACTGCCTTCCAAAGCCGCAGGGAGACGCGATCTTCAAGTAAGATTTCGCCAAGCCGCATACTGCGATCCACTAGTGCTTGGCTTCTCCAAAATCGAGTCCATGTTTTAAACTGGGTTCCAAATTCGCCTGCTCTGAATCCAATCGAGGATCTTTGGCGTGACCTCAAGAAAGAGCCTCGAACAAAAGATTAGCTGTAAACGGTTCTTTAGGAAGCATGGATTATTCCACAAGATTTTTGCCGTGCCTTCGTTGCATCGAGCCTAGACGAGTTTCCGACGTGTACGCTGCAAAAGGAAGCACCCAAGAAGTGGTAATTGTAAGCGAAGAATGGATGCACATAAACTAATTGCCTCCAATTAATGATGCTTTCAGGCATGGAATAATGCTTTCAGGCATGTATGGAGACGCATATTACAGTGATTGAGACAATTTTTTTATTTTTTTTTGTAAACCATAGCTGGAGCCATACTTTATTTATTAACTTTTTCCACTTTATGAATGTACAGTACAGTACCCTAAGCTTTCAGTTGCCTGTTCGAAGTTAAGTTGCGAGTTATATTTAAAATCCTTGTGTATATTAAACTACGTAATAGTCAGAAAACTTACAAAAATATTATATACGTGTAAGAATTATAATACCAAGTTTATAAAAAGAAATTGTATAAATATATGGGAGCCAAAATAAGGGTGGAGAAGAGCCGCATGCAGCTTGCGAGCCGCAGTTTGACCACGTGGTTTTTCTTATGTTAGATACTTAAAACAGTCTCTATACTTTATCATTTATCTATTATCATTATATATAAACAGAGAATGTATCGGGAATGGTTTATTTAAACTGAACGTGTAAAAGGGAGTTGTCTTTTTTTCGTCGTTTGGTAGGACTTTCATCAACATCTAGCATCAATTCGTATTTCGTCGTCCATTTTCGTTTGCAAAATAAACGCTTGTTTTGTGCGTGACGAATTCTTGTGCCTGTGATATTTCAAAACGTCGAGTGTAATTGAGCAAAGAACGTGAATTAAATTTCGTTTTTTCAACGGAATTACTGTTATGAAAATGTCTCTGAAATTGTTTCTGATAGTCTATCAGAAACAAGAGTTTTCGAGTGGTACACGATGTTCGAGGAAGGTAGATAACGCGTCGGTAGACCATCCATTTTAACTGACGAACAGCATATCGCCAGAGTCAGCGATTTGGTGCTTAATGTTCGTCCTTTAACAGTTAGGAATATTATTGGACACGATCAGGTATCATTTGAATCTTGCCAAGCAATTTTAAAAGATCATTTGGGCTTGCGGCGCGTCGCTTCTTGAGTCGTCCCGAAAGCGTTGAATTTTTTCAAAAACAACGTGTGCCGAGGAAATGCTTTCTCGAGGCAAATCGTTCTTAAAATGCACCATTACGAGTGATGAAACAAGAATCTACACTTTTGACACCGAAATAGCTTAACAATCGAGTGAAAGGCAACCGAAAAGACCGCGTCAAAGTCGGTCAAAAATCAAAGTCGTGCTGATTGTTTTCTTCGATTGTCTTGATATTGTGCATCGCGAATTCCTTCCGACTGGTCAAACTATCAAAAAAGATTATTATTTAAGCGTTTTGTGTTGTTTGCGTGAAGCAATTCGTAGAAAACGATTTGATTTGCGGCGAGAAAACTCATGGATTTTGCACCACGATAATGCGTCTGTTTGTGAATTTTTGGCTAAAAATTCAACGAATACGGTTCCGCAAGACCGGTATTCACCTGATTTGGCACCGTGTGATTTTTCTTATGTTTTCGCGATTAAAATTTCTGCTTCGTGGTCAGAGTTTTAAGTTGATTGAAGTGGGTTCACGAAAACGACTTTAAAGCGTGTTTCGAGGATTGGAAAAAATATTGGCATAAGTGTATTGCAATGGGAGAGAATTACTTAACACCTAACTGCAGAATATAGAATGTACCCAAAGTTAATTCGCTCATGTCAGGAACACATTATCTGTTGTACGAGTATTTATACACATCTGCAGATCCCTGGTGAAAATTCGGGAATTCATAGCAATTTACATACTTCTTACATAAATTATAAAGTCCTAAGAATTAATTTACTCATCCAAGTAATGACCGTACAAACTATTGAAGAACTGTTAGTATCTTCATGTTGTTAGCCATCTGTATCTAGTTGGAATCTTAAAAAAAGATAAACTTTAAACTGACCCAAAATTATTTGTATGATCATTATTTGAATAAGTAGAATCCTAGGATCGCTTAGTTATATAATAATGGTAAGGAATAGGTTTGTCTCTCTGCTTTGTGAGCACTAAAAGAGCCTTTATTCCATACCTATCGTGTAAAAATTGTTCTTGAATTTTTTGCTTTAAACTATTTTAATTTAGTGAGTTTGCTTTAATGTGTTTGTGTTTAATTAGTTTGATTATCATAATTAAAAAGCATTTCACCCATATTGAGTATGATCCATTTTACCCTTACATTCGAGTGAAATGTATTGTTTGCCAATATATTTTGAAATGTCAATATTGTCACTTCTAATAAACTTAGGTGTTTGCGAATCACTAGTACTATAAAAAAGTAATTTTCTCTATTACAGACTTTTAACAATAAGCGATTTTGCTGAGTGATCAATTTTATGTCCACTTACTATAGACCTAAAATTAGAATATTAGCAAAAGCAGCCAAACACCCATAAAAACTATATTGTAATGCAAATTTCCACATTGTTGAGCAGAGCAGTATAACAGTACAACATGGGGCGTAAGCGCGACATTAGTGACAGAACTAAAGATATTATCATAGCCTTGTACAAAGTAGGAAAAACACAAAAGTAAATTGCGAATTATGTAAAATGCTTGCAGTCTCTAGAGTACTGAAACAACAAAACCGTGTTCAAGTTTTAACTAATAAACGCCAGAAATGTGGACGTAAACGAGCAACGACTGCGAGGGATGAGAGAAACTTGAGAAGGATTG